CTACTTGCTCCCTATATAGAAAACAATGCCTAATCGGTGACCATTGGTCCCCTATGATCCTCTTTTTCTTATGTTAATTGAGATCTGAGTTGATGAGATAACCACCTGTCCAGTGACCTTGCAGTGTGGTCTAATCCCTCCCATAAACTAGTACAGATAAGCTTTAATGCACTTTCGGTGTTCGTAATTTGTTATTGTTTCTTTATTTTCATGAAAGAGAAAGGCAGCTGTTTCTACAACTAGAATACGTTGCGAAAGCAAGTATATCTTTTTAATGAACAAAATAAGATTGTTTTTTCTTTCAGTTTCAGACATCTCATTCGCCTTATTTTGTACCTTATATGTTTGCTTTAAAGCACTTACAAAAACAACATAGACAACGCCACCCCCTTCCCAACCACCAAAAGACGAAGATAGGGTGACAAGAGCCATGTATCCAATCGATGCTTTAATGGGCTGAGGGAGCAAGAATTTTGAAAAAGAGATAGAAGTGATATCCCAGTAAATGATAATTAGTTTACTTGAAGCTTTTCCTACTTCAATTTACATAGATGCGTTCTAAAACAGAGATGTGTCCAGTTCAAGTACGTTCTGTTTTTTTGTTGCGCAAGAAAGTGTGTTCGACTCACTATCACGAAAATATGTACGTGTCTTGAGAAGTGTTCAAAAAATAGTTGTGCAATGTTTATTTCTTGTGTACGCCTTATTTTATGTTCTCAATTGATAACGGGATATTATGCCGATTAAAGAAGGCACATAACAATGACGGCACCCGACCGAACAAGTTGGCGTACGTTAAAGAGAATGTCCGCATGCAGTTAAATCTGTTTATGAGGTGATACAATTGGAAATACAGTGACGAATGGCTTGACAAAAATAGAGTGATATTTCCCATTCAGAGAGCTTTGTGTACATAAGCATTAGATCAAGAAATTCCACTCCCGCCACTCATTCTCTCCAAGCGCTTTAGTTCTGCTTAGAACTATAAGCTAAGAAAGAAAGATAACCAACAGTCTTTTTCAAAACTACACCAACAGTCCTTTTCAGGACTCCTCAATCCTCCCTCTCGCTCACATGGTGCACCCGCAAGCCTACTATATAGAACTATAGATAATGAATCTGTCTATTCATTCATTTTAAAGTTGCATTATCTTTAATTGTGACATTAGAACGTATAATCTCAGCTTATATCAGTGGAGATTTTAAAAAAGAAGCTGTCAGCTAGCTTATCATATCTCAAGCATGCCTAAAACAACGGTCCGAATGATTCAAGATCAGCGTTCCATTATCACTATGTTGTAAGCAATTATTATTGAATACACTCATATTTTATCGTTTATAATTTTTGCTGACGACACGAATCTGTTCTTTTCCCACAACAGTCCATGCACTCTTATGCAAACGGTCAATTCTGAACGATCAAATATTCTACAATGGATTAGAGCAAACAAACTTTCACTTAATCTCCAAAAAACTTATTATGTTGTTCAGTTATACTAAAGATTCACTGCCAGGCAACATTGCATTCGATGACGTCCCCTTGGAGAGTGTTTCTTTCACCAAATTTTGGGGCGTAACAGTCGACAATAAACTCTCCATGGAAGTACCATATTAGAAACATCTGTAAAACTATTTCTCGTGATAGTGATGTCATGAATAGATTAAAGACTCATCTTCCTTATTTACGCTTTAATCCTCGCTGGTCTACCATATCTAAATTATGGACTCCTGGTGTGGGGCAATACACACCTAACCTAACAGAATCTTATTAAAAGAAAGCCCCTCGTATCATTCGTCTTTCTCATTTTCGCTCTCATACGGATCCTCTTTTCTTTACAAATAAAATATTGAAAGTTAAAGATCTTTAACTCTTTCAGTTAGGCCAGTTCATGTATTCTTATAATAACAACAAGCTTCCTTTCATTTTTGACGATATATTCACCCTAAATAAATCCTCTCATAAGTACCCAACTCGGCATTGTAATGACTTTCATTTACCTATGCTGAGAACCCTTCTAGCTCAAAACACGTTTATTTATACAGCCCCAAAATTTTGGAACTCTATTCATATTGACATTCAACTTGCCCCCTCTCTAAGAAGAAATTGAAATTGTGTCTTAAACTTCCTTACAATACAAATTAATATCAGTGCATTGTTAAATCATTTCTTGCATTCCTTTCCTTCCCGGTACGTTTTTTTTTAACGCTCTGTATGTATCTTACTATAATTATGGTCACTACCAGGCGCGCTGGAAGCAGTTTGGGATTGGGGGGGGGGGCAAACATTCCAAGGGGCTCACCTTCCAGGGGCAGTGACGTAATGAGCAAAAAGGTTTGGAAGGAGGGGGGGGGGCAGAAGAAAAATCTGCATCACCACCACTCTTACACGTTACATGCAGGCCCCGCGGAACGTTTTTCAAAGTGGAGTATTAACGATCACATAGAGCGTAAATTAGCGTGTGGTCCAGGGGGCAGAGCCCCTGGAAGCTCAGAGGTTTTGATATTTAACTACGGTCAGATGAGCATCCAGGGGCCGCCTTAGGGCCCTGGTGGGGTCCAGGGGGCAGAGCCCCGAGAAGCTCAGGGGTTTTAGGTATTTAAATACCGGTCAGATGAGCATCCAGGGGCTCGGCTTAGGGCCCTTGGTGGGGTCCTGGGGCGAAGCCCTGTAAGCTCTGGGGGTTTAGTTATTTAATTACGGTCAGATGAGCATATTTCGATACCTCACTTGTGACATTGGCAGTACACTTATTTTGTCTCTCTTTCTTTCTTTCTTTTTCTCTGTAACATACTTTTTCTAAAAGTGAGGGGCTCGAGCCCCTGAGCCCAGCCGTTTTGCAGACCATGACATAAAGGCTTCTAAATAAGCAAATTTTCGCCCGACGGTAAATTTGGGAATTTCTAATTTTCCAACAAACGCATAAAACGGTATGACTTACAAAAATATTGGGAAAAAATACCGGAAAATCATGTCATTTCAGTAGCATTTGTAAATCACTGGTATCGAATAAGAAATACCCCCCCCCCATCAGTACGCCAGCGTTCAGGGGCTCATGTCTTCTCACCCCTATAACAAAAAACAGACACGCTTTCCCATTCTCTCACAATATGTCCACGATATACGCGTATCGCTATTATAAAAACCTCCCGCATTGATAAATATAGCTGGCATGCGCAATGTTTAAGAAATTTAATTCCTGTTAACTTTCTTTTTCTTTGAATGTCTTTGAAAGTCGTCATTGTCTCTTTTGACCTTTCCAGTGCTCACTATACTTTATCGTAAAAAGTTTTCAAAATTCGGATTTATAGATGTATTATTATTCTGCCAATTTTTGGTGATCTATGTATATATATTTTTTATAAGTCGTTATATTTACATGTTACAAAAATTATGTTTGCCATTATTTTGAGGGATCCACATTTTACAAGCTCTGCTTTTTAGTGAATCCCTCCATTTCAAGTTTTAAGTTTCAAGTTTAATGTTCCACATTTTACAGAAAATATAAACATACATATAAAATAACAAATTATACATTACAATTCGTCCCTATTTTCACGAAGTGACGGTAGTGAATGATAATCCCATACAATTTGCGTGCAGATTTTCCTCACTACCGTCACTTCGTGAAAACAGGAACGAATTGTAGTGTAAATGAGCACATGTCAATGAGTCTCAATTCATATAATAGATAATGTAGAATGTGAGAAACCTATTAAAAAAGCAGGGCTTGTATAATATAGGTTCCTGGAAGAAAAAAAAGTAATGTAGATAACAAAACAGTAGCAGTAGAGAACTACGTAATTTAGAGGGGAGAATTTAAAACACAATGAAATAATGACATCTTTATACAAAATAATACATTGGCACCAATACCCAGAGTGACCCAGTTAAAAGCGTAGTCGAAATGCGTAGTCACCCGAGCAATTAGTTAGCATAGCACAACGTAATTTGTTTGTACATGAATACATTACAACACATTACAACACCGGAACAGGCATCATTAATTAACAATTAAGATTAACATTGAAGAAGAAGAAGAAGAAGAAAAAAAGGACTCTGGGAGGGCAAACAAATTATATTAGATGTAAGAACTTAAAAGAAAAACTCGAAGTTTGCGTTGGGCAAATCATCCTTACTTAGCTGATACATGAAAATTCCGAGGAAATATTTGTATAAATCAGATACTTTCAGGAAACGATTTGCAAAAAATAAAACGTTAGTGTGTGCCTGGAAATCTGCCAGGTTTATTATTCTTATTGCTCTTTTTTGGATCATGAAAATGGAATTGATTTTTGTTTTTGAACAATTTCCCCACGCTAGCACCCCGTTATTTAGATAAGGTAACAACAGAGTTGAATATAATATTTTTAATACATGAGATGGAAAAAAAGATTTCAACTTATTTATTACACCTACGTTCCTAGACAGCGGTTTGCATAAATGATCAATTTGAGTATTCCATGTTAGTTTACAGTCAATAAAAAGACCAAGAAATTTAGTGGAGTTTATCTGGGTTAAGAGTATAAGCCATTAACCAGAACTTGTCCTGGTAGCTCAGATATTGTATTGCTGAAAATTATAAAATTAGTTTTGTTCAGATTCAGGGACAATTTGTTTGCTTGTATCCATTCAGCTACAAAAATCAATTAAAAATTCAAGGAATCAAGAAGAATTCTAGGATTGGGATGTGAGCAAAAAATGTTTGAGTTGACAGAAAAGTGTAATTAAAAAACAAATTATACAGTTATGTATACTTTCTATTTCATATTTTTAAACCGTGTAAAAATATGTATTTTATTATTGAACGTTGAATTTTATATTTGATTTATTGTCAAAATTACTGTTCTGTGGGAAATGAAAAGTAAAAACTGAAACTGAAACTGAAACTGTTGTGATATCACGCCTAATTATAGTATCTTAAATATTGCACAGCTCTATTTAAAGATTAAGCTAGCTCGGCCAGCTAGAGCTAGATGTTATCACTCGAAATTTACACGACATGGGGAAGTTAAAGGTATTTGAAGTTCTCCTGACTGGCAACCAAGAAGTATATAAGCCGGGAGATGTTGTACAGGGAGAAGCAAGGATAGTTGTATCAGAAGAAAAGGGAGATATTCGTGGTGAGTAAATTAAAGAAGACTAATGTATGATACACCACTGAGGAGCGAGTTGGGCCACATCTACTGCCGCCGTGCCAGGGACCCGATAAACTCCAGATGCCACGCGCATTTTTTACAAAAAATATCACTTTTGGCTCAAAATTTGTAAGAAATGTCGAAAATCTTGATTTCTAATTTTTTGGCCGAATATAAATTATCTGATGAAGAAAAATCCAATTGATATAGTTTTCATTAAGAGTTTGCAGTAGTTAACCTGATTTAATCTACATTCCATTTTTTATATTACACTTATATGTATGGCGCATGAAACATATAAGTGTAATTCGTCGCTGTTTTCACGGAGTGACGGTAGTGAAAAAAATTGCATTCACTTTGCGTTACGATTTTCCTCACTACCGTCACTTCGTGAAAACAAGGACGAATTTATTCGGAATATGGGGTTATAAAACTAATTATATTTCAGTTTCTTACACACCAGGAGTCTGTCAATTAAATCTCTTTTCCTTGATGAAACATATAATATATGGTGTTACGCCACACACAGAAAGAAAAAAGGGTTAGATCAGATAATGGGATGGATAAGTAATTTAGTTTTCCCCAATGAATTGTTGTCTTGTTGTATATGGCAATTCCCACCAGTGTACATGTATTAAGTCCTAGAACTAAAAAGGCACACATCACCTGTCTTAAATGATTTTTCCCTGTTAATTAGGACCCTTGCCTATCAGAATATGCTTGTTGCCCCCTAAGGTTTACTGTGGATATGACCACTAGGGCTATTGCCATGTTAACGGATCAAGAACATTAGAATTTTAGACAATGTCATGATTGCTAATTTAACTGAAATCGCATTGTAATTATGTCGATATTTGTATTTAAAAAAATGGAAAAGATAACTAAACAAAACAAAAATCTGGAACCAATTTTGTTTTGTTTTCAAATGTTAAATATATGTTTGCATAATTTCAAGCGATTTTTTTGGACCAAAAAAAAAAAGTGTCCTCTTACCCGCCACCCCCCGCCCCCCCCCCCCCCAAAAAAAAAATCGACCCGATTTAAAAATGTTAACCCCCCCCCCCCTTTAAAATATCCTGCGTACGCCACTGCATATGACAATGCATTAACAAGACTAGAGTTGTCATCTGTTTCGACGCGTAAAGAAAAACTGACTAAAGAGTTTGCTGTTTAATTTGAAAACAAATTATAGCGTTAATCGTGGTTACCTCCAAAGAAGACTGACAAATTCAATTTACGAAATGTCATAAGATATTAAGAATTTTCTTGCAGATTCCAAAAAGATCAAAATAGTGCCCTTCCTAATCTCACACGTTTACTTAATAATCATCATGCGAATCAAAGCTTGTAATAACCATCTATCATTTTTGTGATACTATGACCTGTTACAAATTATTATGATGTTGCTATCAGGTCACTGCTTTTGGCCACGTTTATACGTTTACTATACTGTACTCTTTCTCCAGCCCTATTGTCATTTCTCCCTTATTCTCTCTCGCTCTCTCTGCCTCTTTCACTCTTTCCTCTTCTTTCTCCTTGACCTCTTACTTTGGTATCCTGCAATATTTGTCATTGATAGCGGGAATGTAATCATCTTTCAATTGTAAATGTATCAATACTACTTTTTATGACATCTTTCAACATGTTTTCTGACATTCATTCCCTTTATTTTTTTCATTGAAAGTATTTTGTGTAACTTGGTGTTTAATTAATTTTTTTTTTATTCACAATTGCATTTTGTATTCATATTGTATTTCAATATTTGTGAAACATGTATGATTTAGTATTTGAATTGCAAAACATGTTCGAATTAAACTTTATTGAATTGAATTGAATTTAATTGAATCTGTCTAGTTGCCATAAAGTAGGAGATGGACGTGAGCGCTGGGCCATTTTTATTAAAATGAAGCAAGAATTATTGGAATTTTAAGGAATACTATTATTTTTAACAAAATGAAACAAATAGTAAGCTTTTAATAACTTAAGCTGTCTGTTTGATTATGATTAAAATTTGAGTCATTTTAAGTATTAAACAAAATAAGGCCGTTGCCATGTAAAAGGAATGTTAAAGAAGTTATACCTTTGACACCCCCTCCAAAAAAAAAATCTAAAAATGTAACTAATCAATACAAACAAGCAGAATAACAAAGTATATCTAGTACCCTCAGCTTTCAGAATCTGTTCGTTTAGTCATAAAGCTGGTTGTGGAGTGATCACCATGACCATTACCAATTTGATTTTCATAAAAGTTAATACCACATTTCTATAATTTAACAAAAAATATAAAGACAAATGTATATAAGAGTATCGAACCATGATCTAAGTTTGTGTAATTTTAGATTCCAGTTTTATTGCAACTCAATGTGAGCCACTTGAGGTCATGATAAAGTAGAAAAAATGTTTATTTATTAATATTGAAGATCGTATTATAAGAAATAAAATATTTTAGAAAAATATTAATGTAACTGACTGATATTATGAAAAGGAAATAGTCGTCTCTGTGAACCAGAATTTCCAACTGGTTAACTAATTCGAATCCAGATCCAGAAAACTGTTTTCAGTTACCAGTCATGTCTGATAGAGCAGTTGCTATGACACCTAATTATCACTAGGAGGTGTTACCAATGTTCTATGCTTTACTTATGTCTCATGGTATAATTTTTCAGGAAAGCACCTTGCCAAAGGGTGCAAGCAGTAGCACTGATAAGGAACGAGTCTTTTGTATGAGAGTCAAGAATTCTCACCAATATATCACAGTGCTATTATGTTATTTGGACATTCAGAAGCTGATATATAACTTTTTGACATTGTTTTCAATCTGATATTATCAACATTCTTTTCAATCTTCACAATGAAGGGAAATTAACAAAAAAATATTCTAAACTTGTGTTCGAAGGATTTAACGGAGATAATCTCACGATCAACGACCATGTACGTTTAGAGTTTCCGTGCAATGTTCACATTTATGTCATATTTCGGCTTATGCCGAAAGGGTGGGTAGGGTAGCGTCGCGTTGACTTATTTTCCTTCCCTTTCTCTCCTCTTTTCATTTTTTCTTTCCCTTCCCTTCCTTCTCTCTTATTTTTTGATGGGGGGGGGGGGGTAACAGCTGGAAGGCAAGGCCCTTTCGCCCCCCCCCCGATCTCCTTCTTTTTTCATCCTTTTCTTTTCGTCTTACTCTTCTTTCTTTCCCTTTCTCTCCTCTTTCCCTTCTTTTCCTTCTCTCTCTCTCTCTCTCTCTCTCTCTCGCCCGCTCGGCCCCCTGGACCCGCGCCTGTGTACACAAACTAACACGGGTTTGTAACAACATCTAAAACAAACACATACACACACAAATGTACATTGAAATAAATATATCTTTTTAAAAAGGACATTTTGACCGTTTAGAGGCTGTTTTTATTGTATTCATGACCAGACTGCATGAGGCTGTGCTAGACGCGTACATCTTTTAATGAAAAAGTAATAAATTTATCGTATTATTGAGGTGTTACCGAGTCTAAAATAAAGTTTGTTTCAGTAACATATCAAAAACACATTACATTTTTGAAAATTACGTTGCCATGAAATCGCTCCTGTCAGAATTTTTAAAATCTTCTTTTTCTTATAGGTGAATGGCAAGGCAAGATATGGAACAGGGTATGAGCGTTGTGACTTATTCCATCGCCAACCTCTGGTGTATATTTATACCCAATTTGTCACAATCAACGTTAAATTGTAACAGTCAACAAATGAACATCAACGTATACAAACTTCAAATTACCTATCTCATTAAAAAAATTCTATCATCTTCTCAGATTAAAAAAAACATTTGCACAATGTGCAGACTAAGAACTTAAAATTAATAAGGCTATGTTCCGATTTCAAGGCTCATAACCGATATACTGTTGCCTTCGAAGTGATGAACATTTGGGACATTTTCATTTTGTGACAGCATTTTTCTTATAATATGTGATAGAATAGAAACTAATTAATATAAATGATAAAAGGCTTTCATGGTGAAATCAGGAAGATTAGCAAACCATTGGCACAAAACAAGAACATTTTAGCAATGATTTAGATTAATTAATCAGCATAACAAAAACATACAACATTGCATGGAGGCAAAAGTAAAAATCTGGTTATGAATTTTTCTCAAAGAAAATCCCCATTTAACAAGTGGTTACATGATTAAATCAGCAAGACATTTCGGGAAATGCTGCAGTCCTCGGCTGGATTTTTATGGGCCACCCTGTACAATAATTCCACCAATATATCATGTCAATCAAGATTTTCCTGATCTAGTATGATCACTGTCCTGATGATGATCATGAAATATGTTAATCCCAATATAAAAAAAAATTAAAAAAAAAATTGTCTTGTTTGGAGACCGGAAATATTTTTCAGGCGTTTTATGACTTTTGATCACAACTGTAAAGCAGGGCTCCCACTTAGCCGAGTTGGAGCCACGAGTTGTGGCGAGCTGGCGCGATCTTATGGCAAGCAGTTTTATCAATAAAAAACATATTTCTTGATATCACGAAATCGAACTCTTGATATCAAGCATTACCATTGCTTTACAACGTACAATTATTTCTTGATATCAAGAAATATGTTTTAATGATAAAACGGCTTGCCATAAGATCGAGCCAGCTCGCCACAACTCGAGGCTCCAACTCGGCTAAGTGGGAGCCCTGCTTAACATTTCCACCAGTCACAATAATTTACTCTTAAAAATGCATACTGGTAAGAACTTTGATGACAAACAAATAAATAAAGTAAACAAGTAAACAGCAACAATTCAAAAAGAACACCTACATGAACACAACTCAACTTAATATAATGTAGACAAGATATTTAATACATAAATTAGCATGTACGTATGTTTCCTCTCGCCAGGCGCGTACGCAGGGGGGGGGGGGTTAACCCCCCCCCCCTCTTTGGTATTTTAATGTTTGTATTTTAGCCGAAAACCCCCCTAACCCCCACCCCCTTTGATTTTTTTTTTT